ATAATCCCATGATTATTACGTAATTATATAATTATAAATATTTATGATATATTTGCAGGAATGAGTGTATCTATGACAAAGGAGTACTGAGGAGCACATTAAGCACATTTGAAATTGGGAGATGTTTAATGATGGTGTATCTGTAAGAAAGACTTTATTGCAATAGATGAAGATTATATTTAATCTGACAATTTGCTGGCGTTTTCCTCCTTTTCTTTCCCTGAGCTAATTTTCTGCTAATTCCCAAAGCCCCCCACAAATGGGGTGTCATTTCCACTTCACAAACACCTCTGACTGAGACCTGATTTAGGCACTGAGAGAAAAGGACTCCCCAGGAACAAGCAGCTGCTGTGACACTGCTCATGCAGACCAGGCAGAGAGTTTAGAGCAGAGAGATGGAAAAATAACACTGGAGTTCATTTCTTTCACCCTTTCAAAGCAAAAAGGGGGAGTCATCCCTTTCCTGGGGCTAAAGAGTGTGGAGCAGGAAATATTTTTAAATCCTTTTTGAGTAACAACATCCCATTTACAACAAGGATAAAAGTTGCCAACGTACTGTGTTTTAATTTCTGTCTTAATTACAGTACCCTCTGTTTGCCAGTAGTTTTTAGAATTGTGCTGTTAAAATCCCCTTCTTTGGGACTCTCTGGTTGTTTCCGAATTTGCAAGGTTTAAAACTAGAGAATCAGCTTTCATTTGAAGTGTTGCTGACAATTATCATTAATCCTCTTGTGTGTGGCACCTGCAGGTTGTTCCCAGTGGTTAGAATTTAACAGATACTCTTATAAACTAATAGGAATGAATGAGTGGTTGGTTTAATTTTTGCACAGATCAAGCAATGTCTTTTCCCCATTTTCTTGCCCTACTGATTTTCAGCTCAGCGGGAAATAAAATCTTTATTAGTGCCACAAAGTTTGACTCTACACAGGTACTTTTTCCGTGTTTTTCCCAATGCATCCAGGCCAAAGAGGCGTTTTTATTTCATAGCTGGGAGTATTAAACTTGTACTGGCAGAGCTGGTGATGAATAACTCAGTGCTGGTTATGGCAACACTGCTCGTGCACATGACAAATCTGTAATGTTTGCCACTCATCTCATTAATTCCACAAATACAGTCCAGAGGGTTTTCTGTGGGATTTTTTAGGGAAGGCATGTGGATTTTGCTCCTGACTCCCATCTGGCTGCATATCCTGTGTTTTAAGGGAAGAGGACAAGAGGGAGATGATGAATTTGGGTGGCTTTGGCTGTTTTCTTCACTCTGCCAGGTTGTGTTTGTTTGTCTGTAAACAGTCCCCTCCCTGCTGGCCCCGTGCAGAGAATTCCACAGGGACAGGAACTGCCAAAGTGGAAGGATTTGAGGAGCTCCTGTTGTGCTCCAAGTTAAATTGCATTATCAGTGTCCCCCCTGCATCTCGGAGTGCTGTGCCTGCCCCACAGCCAGGGCTGTCCTGCTTTCCTGGCCCAGGAATTCCCCATCTCCTGGAGATCCGTGGGGGACTGTTCCTGCAGAGCCTGGGGAGCAACAGCCCCTTCTCAGGGTGTGCTGAGGGGAAGGGACACCCCGGGGCTCCCTGGAGGGTTTGTGGCCAGAACGAGGGACAGCCACAGGTTCTGTCACTGCTGCTCCAACAAACTCAACTGACCACGGACAGCACAGGCCTGGAGAGGGAAATGTCGTGGGATCACAGAATCCCAGAATGGTTTGGGTTGGAAGGGACCTCAAAGCTCACCCAGTGCCACCCCCTGCCAGGGACAGGGACACCTTCCACTAGCCCAGGTTGCTCCAAGCCCCATCCAACCTGGCCTTGGACACTTCCAGGGATGGGGCAGCCCCAGCTTCCCTGGGAATTCCATCCCAGCCCCTCACTGCCCTCACAGGAAGGAATTTCTCCTCAACAGCCCATCTACCCCTGCCCTCTGGCAGTGGGAAGCCATTCCCCCTTGTCCTATCCCTCCAGGCCCTTGTCCAAAACCCTTCTCCAGCTCTCTTGGAGCTCCTCTAAGCACTGGAAGGGTCTCTGAGTCCTCTCTGGACCCTCGAGCTCTCCAGTCTCAACTCTCTCTGCCCCAGGTTTCTGTCATCCAGAAACCTGAAGAACTCCCTGAGCTCTGGAGTCTCCTTCACCTCTGGGCTCAGCAAAGATCCCTCCCTTGCTGGGTCTGTTGACCCTCAGGCTGACCTTCTGTAAAGACTTAAGGGGGCAGATCCCTGCAGTGGGAATGGCTCTGTCAGGGCTTTGTGGGATAAAAGCCTCACTGCCCACGGGGGAGCAGAACATCCCTGAGATGCTCAGGTGAAGTGCTCACCTGCCAGACCTCCCACAGGAGCGTCTCCAGCAGGAGAGAGCACCAGCACTGAGCTGTGGGGAGGGCCTGGGGTGTGTCCATGCGGTGGCTGAGAGCAGGAATCTGTCCCTGGGTTTGTTTTGCTGTTACCAGACAAAAAATATGATTTGTTGGCCTGAAGACTCGGGGCCTGTGTAGGTCGTTGCCTTTGCAGGGCAGGGCAGTCCAGGCTGACCCTCGGAGCTCCCTCCTGCTCCACGAGCTGCAAATCAGCAGGCTGAACTAAATCAGAGATGACATATTTGTGATTGAATGTGGGAAGTGTCTTGACCCTGCAGAATTAAGAACAGTGTGTTTGACTCGGGAGGTGCCATTTCTGAACTAGTTTTCTTACTTGATGTTTTTATTCTGTTCTTTTGAGGCGTCCCTGGGGGACATGGCAGATCACTAAGCCTGGACAGTTGGAATATTTACCTGTACACTCCAATCATACTAATTCCAGGTATCTTGACCTGAGTGTGACTTTTCTGAACCCTGGCATCCAAACCAGATGAATATGTGGCAGCAGGCAAGGATGTGGGAAAACAGAAAATCCAGACCTGACTCAGAAATGAGTCCAAGGCCAGGTGGGACGGGGCTTGGGGCAACCTGGTCTAGTGGGAGGTGTCCCTGCCCATGGCAGGGGGTGGAATGGGATGATTTTAAGGTCCCTTCCAACCCAAAGCATCCCATGGCTCTGTGATTCTCTGATAACAAGGTCAGGGCAGCGGTTCTGTTGCTGATTTGCCCTTTCTTTCTGTGTCTCCTGCCCCGAGCTCTGGAGTGAGTGCCCGTTCCTGGGGATGTATTCAGTGTGCCCATGTCCTTTTCAAAGTTACTGGGTTGTTTATTTTGTTTCCTTGTCAGAATGATCAGAGAGAGTGCATCTGTTTGAGTTATAACAGCAACGGTCAGGACTGATAACAGACTATTTTAAGCTACTCTTAACAACAGCCTGTGAAGCTGCAAGGTTGTGTGAAAGATAGAGACAGAGCTTTATGGAACTGTGGAGTGAATTATTAACTGATGCTTCTGGCCCAACATGACAAATAAAATTCTATTGCAAAAAGATACTCCGTTGTGTCAGGCATTGATTTGGGAAGATGTCTAACAAATGGCTCCTGGATAAACTCACTATCCTTCTTAATTTGTCTGTCTGATCAGGGAAGTTGAAGGGAGAGAGAGCCACCAAATAAAATTAGCTTTTTCTTTCACTCATTATCTGTGCTTTCTTAATAAAAGACGTGGAAGGCCTGCTGATTTCAGTGTGTAACACAGGCATCTGCAAATCTCAGATATCTTTATTTCAGGTTCCTGATAAAATCACTGAAGGACCATAAATCAACTCCAGACGTGGCCAAACAGATTCTCATCTCAGGGCTGGTGGGGTTTGGTTCATTTTGAGTTTGCTTTTGTTTTAATTTGAGATCTGTTTGGCACATTCCTGCTCATTCCCTTGTCGTTTCAGCTGGCAAACAGCTTTTGTTTGTCCACTCTCAGACATTAGTCGGGATAATCT